AGTCACAGAGTTGGAAAACAAGCAGAGTCCAAGGTCTGGTGTACTAACTCCACAGCCTTGCTGAGTTACAAGGCTTAAAGGGGGTTTTAAACAGAGGCTGGACAACCATCCGCATTGGGTGGCCATCAGCTGGGGATTCATGCACTGGAAGCAGGTTTGACTGGATGACCTCTGGGGTCCCTTTCCGCTCTACAACTCTCATTCCATTCATTATCAGGTTGCTGTTTAGTTTTCTTTTCAAAACTTTTAAAATACCCACCAACTCACTGGTTAAATATAGTCCACCATCTAATCTTTATCTTATCTGGCTTTGTCAATCCCAGGCCTCTTCTTCTTCCTCCTCCTCCTCCTCCTCTCGGTCATCCCAGTTATCAGCATCTCCCATCGAGGGCTGGGAGGGTGTTGGGAGGCAAAGCGGCGACGTGTAGCCAAGAAGCACAGCTAAGTCAGCAGATAAGAATCTGGGAGAGGACCGAGATGATCTGATGTCTCCCCCCTCTTTTATTTTTTAAGAAAGAAAAACAAGTCTGCAGTGGCTTGGTTACATGAAACTGAACACACGCATACTTCTTCTCCCTCTCCGGAGAAAGCAAAATAACAAACCAAAGCTTTAAAAAGCAAAGCAATAAAGAAAAAAAAAAAGGCAGCCACATTTTTCACTCTTCCTGACTGCCATGTTCATGCACAGAGGACTCTTGCACACTTGCACACTTGCACAAAAGCACAGAGGACTCCCCATCGACCCTCTCAAGCCCTTTCATCCATTTTGGCCATCTCTCTATCTGGCCCCAGATCAACTTCCTTTCCTCTTTTATCAGCTTGGGGCATCTCTTTGCAGAAAAAGCCAACAGAGGAAAGAAAAGCCAGGGAGCAGCTTTTAAAGTCAGGGCCGGCCAATGTATTCTCCCAGCTGCCCATCTTGGCCAAGGCGCCAATCCATCTTCGGATCACCTTTAGATCCTGATGCGGCAGAGACTTTCCCCATGAGAGTGATGGAAAAGGAGGAAGGAAGGAATAAAAGGACCTAACAACTCACATGGGACGAGGTATAACATCAATCTATCGATAGTATATATAGATAGATATTTGCTGTGTGCCTTCAAGTCGTTTCCAACTTATGGCAACCCTATCCTGGTTGCTGTTTTTTCCTTGGCAGGATTTGTTCAGAGGAGGTTTGCCATGGCCTTCCCCTGAGGCTGAGAGTGTGTGACTTGCCCAGGGTCACCCAGTGGGTTTCATGCCCAAGCAGGGATTCAAACCCTGGTCTCCAGAGTTATAGTCCAACACTCAAACTGCTACATCATGCTGGCTCTCATTATTATTATTATTATTATTATGAGGAGGAGGAGGAGTAATGACCTTTCCAGGCCTGGTGCACCCCACAGCTGGTTTTGGGAATGAACATTTGGCCCTTGGATCCAAACACAGTTGCCCACTTTTGGTTTTACAGGAGACACCTGCAATAATGGGACAAATTTACCTTACTATAAAAATCTAGAGGCCAGTGTGGTATAACGGTTTGAGCGTTGGATACTGGGCGACCAGGGTTCGAATCCTGGCTCGGCCATGGAAACCCACTGGGTGACCTTGGGCGAGTCACACACTCTCAGCCTCAGAGGATGGCAGTGTCAAGCCCCCTCTCAAGAAATGTGCCAAGAATACCCCACAATCGATTGGCCTTAGGGCCATGTGCCATACGTCGGAAACGACGTCAAGGCACACAACAACAACAACAACAACAAAATCCAGCTAATAGCATGTACACTCCAAAACAATATCCCCCATCTCTGTCTTTTTTTGCAGCTAATTTTTGGGGTAGATCAAGTAGGACAAAACGGAAACCCAAATGGCTCTTGGGTAGCGGGGGTGTTGGAGGGGAAAGGTTGGGGAGAAAAGGAACTTTTCATCCATTTTTTCCCCTCTTTTGGTGGAAAAAAAAGTTTGCTTTGGTCTTATCAGCAGAATAAATCACCTCCGGCAGGCAAACAGGTAGATGCAGCTTAGTATAGCAATTATTTCCAAGAAAAGATAAAGGAATATTATCACATGGGGGCCAGCTTCCCTATCCATACATCTCTCCGGTTCTTATCGGAGGCTGAGATCTGTTCAGGAAGGAAAAGGAGGGAGACAACCCACAAAAAAAGCAGCCAAACCTGACACTGGAAAAGTTCCAACATTAGGCATGTGTGCGTGTGTCTCTTTATAAAAATATTTGTGTGTGTGTGTGTGTCTGTGTATGTGTGTGAGAGAGAGGAGAATGTGCGTGTGCATCCCCCCATTGTCATTCCCCTCTCCAGAAAAATGTGCAAAATGCAAAATCCAATTTTTCATTTCTCCAATTTGGGACCTTTCCGCACATGAGTTTGCTATCAGCTATAACAACAACAACAACAACAACAACAACAACAACAACATCACCCCATTGGATGTAATGGGACATAAGCATTCACGAATTTTGGTATCCATGGCAGGTCCTGAAACCAAACCACCGTGGATACTAAGAGCTCACTGTAATAATAATAATAATAATAATAATAATAATAATAATAATAATAACAACCACGTCATTGTATATAATATGACTTGAGCATCCATGGATTTTGGTAACTATGGGGGGTCCTGGAACAAAACCCCAGTGGATAACCCCAAGGGCCCCCACTGTAATAACAACAACAACAACAACAACAACAACAACAACTCACTGTATTTAATGGGACTTAAGCATCTGCAGATTTGGGTATCCAGGGGGGTCCTGGAACAAAACCCCAGCAGATACCAAGGGCCCACTGTAGTAGTAGTAGTACTACTACTACTAGTAATAACAACAACAACAACAACAGTATACCTCACTGTATATAATGGGACTTGAGCCTCCATGGATTTTGGTATCCATGGGAGGTCCTGGAACCAAAACTCAGCAGAGACCAAGGAATAATAATAATAATAACAACAACAACAACAACATACCTCATTGTATCTAATGGGACTTGAGCATTCAAAGATTTTGGTATGCACAGGGGTCCTGGAACCAAATTCCAGCGGATACCAAGGGCCCATGTATACTCTACCAAATGCTCTCCCCATTCACTTTTAAAGGCTCAAGAGAA